TACTGAGTTTGTAGTTAGAGGCATGTCCCATCTTGCCCCATTTTTATGGTACTGGGAAATCAAACATAGTACCTCCTGCCAGCTAGGCAAGCATTCTAGCCACTGAGCTATCCCAGCCCCCTACAGGTCACCATAAATCATTTATGTCACAGGACCAATATCAACTCTATGAGGAGACACACCCTCAGCACTGGATTAAAGACAACACACACACCTGGGACCTTTCCTACTTATTTGCTTACCCTGGTTTATTGATTCATCACACCTGAGTAACTGACACTGTAGGACATTTTATCAATAGGTTTTTATTCCCTAACATCTTCTGTTGTAACGGTCTGAGGTATTGCCTGTCCCTCAGCCTGTGACCTAGCACAGGGCTTAGCAAGAAGGCCAGCAACAAAGATTTGTCCATGGCATTGCATCATGGATGGGGGAGGGAGTCCATGAGGGGCCATACCTCCCAGACAGATTGTTAGCTGCTTGTTGGGGAAAAGGGTTTAATTTCTTCAGTGGTGTGGTCAAGATAAATTGCCCATACCCACATTAAACCCCATGGGTCACACACAAAAAGATCTTGTTGAGAAGGGTTCTGTCAGGAAAGATGGGGTGAGGGAAAGGAACAGGACAGGGCAAAAATGACTGAAAATCATATTACATGGATGTATGAGACTGCCAAACAACAACAATAACAAAAATAAGTCAGGCATGGTGGAGCACTCTAATCCAAGCACTCAGGAAGTAGAGGTAGGCAGATCTCTATGAGTTCAAGGCTAGCCAGGGCTACAAAGTGAGACTCTGTCCCCAAAAAATAATTTAAAGATTTACTTTATGTGTATGAATGTTTTGCCTGCATGTATGTATATGCACCATATATGCGCCTAGTGCTCACAGGGGTCAGAAGAAGGCATTGGCTGCCCTGGGGCTGGAATTACAGAGGGCTGTGAGCTACCATGTGGAGGGTAGGCACTGAACCTGGTCCTCTGCAAAAGCAACCAGTCCTCCTAATTACTCAGCCAGTTCTCCAGCCCCAGCCAGATAAGGAAAATAAATTGCTGAACAGGGACTGGGGATTTGGCTTCATGATGAAGAGTAAACCAAGGGCATACAGAGTCTTGGAAATTGGTCTCTGCCATCACCATCACAAAAGGGGGAAAAAGGGGGAAAAAGGCTGAGTGAATAAATAGTTCCTTGAGTTATGTTAGGAAAAAATAAGCTAATGCATATGAGCTAAGACTATTGTCTTTTAGCACAATGCCTGGTGTTGCTGTTGTTGACTCATGGCCAGGCTTACTATGGGGTAACTTTCGACAAAATGTTTCACTGCAGAAAGTCTCCCTCTGATCCTGCCAGAAAACCTCACCTGCAAGGCAAGTACAGTAAAAAAAACTTTGGAAAGAAAGAGGAACAATTTTGACACAAATTCCAGGAGAACCTAATACTACAGAAACTACCAAAACTAAATAGAAGAGGACGTTTGTCTAACCTCTGGGAAGCTAGAATTTTAGTCTCTCACAATGATGCTAATGGGAGAGCAGTGGAGCATAAAGGCAGCATTTGGCTCCTCGCAATGTGGAATGCTTGCTGTTTGACAGTGAGAAAAACTGTAGCTGACTCCAGGCCTTGTGATGGGGCATGCAAGCTGACTGAAGACACAAGTGTGTAATGTTGGGTGGACAAGGCTTGTGTTGCCTCCTGCAAATCTCTGCATGTCAAAACAATGGCAACCTTTCAAGGCTCAGCGATCTGACTGCCTCTATGCATGAAGCCTTTCCAGATAGTGCTGAGCTGGAAATCCCAGAGGCACCAGCCACCCAAGGCACTGTCCCTGGTATGGGGAGCATTTTAATTCGACACTGTCCCCACTGGGGGGGGGTCTCTGCATTTGTCTCCATTCTTCCTTGGTAAATCCTGAGGGCCTAGTAAGGATTAGGGGGTGGTTCGGGATCTTGTTTACTTACGATGTGTATACTCTGCCACAGAGGGACACTCCAACCTTTAGCAAGGATTACTAACTGACTAACAAAGAATGGATTGTGGAGCTGGAAAGCTGGCACAATGGTTAGGGCTTGCTGCTTTTCCACAAGAATGCATGTCAGATGTGGTGTCTGAGGTTCAGCCTTCAAGTGATTTTGATTCCTCCTCCTCCTCTTTGTCACTCAGGCTACCCTCAAATTAGCTCATTATTTAGCTGAGAAAAATCTTGAACTCCTGATCCTACTTCTCCTATGTACTGGGATTATAGGAGTCACCACACCCCTCACCAGCTCATTCCTTAGATATCAGCAAAGTTGTTGCCTTGAGGAATGTTCACTCCACCTCACAGCACATTTTTTTAAAACAATAACTTTTAAGTTTATCTTATGTGCACTGGTGTGAAGGGATCAGATCCCCTGGAATTGGAGCTACAAACAGCTGTGAGCCACCATGTGGGTGCTGGGAATTGAACTCAGGACATCTGGAAGAACAGCCAGTGCTCTTAACCCCTGAGCTATCTCTGCAGTCTCCACACAATACATTTTTATACCTCTGTGATTTCTTTCCATAGCGAGGCTATTAATTTCCTGAGTACAAAGGCCGTGTCTGTCTGTCTGTCTGTCTCATTCACCTCAGCATCCCCAGTCCTGGCACACTGCCTGGATGCAGCAGCTGCTCAGTAAATACCTGCTGAATGAATGGGGTGGGGGGGTTACGACACACACACACACACACACACACACACACACACACACACACACACACTCACTGCCTTGTGGAGTATACTGGAGCTAAAATATACACATACAAAGTAACAAGAGAATGTTACTAAGGGGTATGCTCCTGGAAGGTGAGGTTTCTTTGTCCAAGGATTAGGGTGTGAGCCATTCTATCAACCTTTCTTGAAATCCCTCAGAGGAACTGTAGGACCCTGAGACGCCTTGAGCAAGCCTGAAGCTGTTGGCAGGAACTCCTTGCTCCAAGGCTGTTGTTGGTACTCTTCCCTTTTTGACAAGACACACCTCGTAGGGAGGAGCTAAATCTAAAATTCCTGTAATTTTCCACTGTGCTGTAAATCGGTATTTAAGCCTGTTCTTTCCCCTCAGTAAAAGGCATTCGGCATTTGGTGTTCTGACATTGCCATTGAACGAATGACCCGCTGTCTTGTCTTTATTTCAATCTCGTGGAACAGATCATAGCGCGGACGCTACAAGGAACTGCAAGAAGAGAGAAGATAGATAAAATTTCAATGAGATTCTGGGGATTCCAAGAACCACAATAGTTAGTCATGGTGCCAGGGACAGGGCAGGGCCATGGACTACGGTTACCCTGGCTCAAAGGCAAAAACAGAATTTTAAAAAGCGAAAAAGTCAGGAATACTGTGTGTTTGTTTTGGTTTTCTGAGTAACAATCCTGGCTGTCCTGGAAGTCACTCTGTAGACCAGGCTGACCTTGAACTAACAGAGATCCACCTGCCTCTGCCTCCCGAGTAAGGTGTGTGCCAGTACACCTGGTATTTACTAGATTGCCATCTCAAGTTACATTTTTAATAATGAAGCAAAAGGTAGTTACAAAAGCCGAAACTGGGCTTGGGGTCCCTCTGGGTGGCATCTTCCAGGCAATTAGGCAGATTCACAGAGGCAGGCGACAGCTCAGTTATCTCCAGGTTATATTTTTCTGTGTGCTTATGTAAGTCCCAGTTATCCTTAAACCAGCTTCCCCCTCAGAGTAGCTTCAGGCCCAGGGCCACGTTCTTAAACAGGTTAGCAAACTTTTGCTTCTTCAGATAAGAGGCTTTTCCAATGAGCAAATGGCTCAAGAGGCAAAAGAAACTTAGATTCCAACTGACTTGGAAGTGTAACTTCATGTCCTTATCTTCCTAAATTATCTAAGCAAAGCGAGTTTGTAAGCTATGCTTGAATAAGAATTGGGTCAGAGCCAATGAGTGTAATCCCTTATTTAATATGTCTGAGGAGGTTTATTAGTTCACCTATTTTCTTTATATTCTAATTAGTGTTAAAGCTTGTCAGTATTTCCATTTACCATCATCATCAGTGAAGACCTGGGTGTGACCCACAGTACCACATCAATCAGACACAGTGGCACATGCCTGCAGTTCCTCCCAGCATCCTCCCCTACATAGTGAGCTCCAGGCCAGTGAGGGACATGTAAGACCATGTCAACAACATGTCAAGAACATATGTCGAAGTGAGGTACTTGGGGTTCTTCTTCCCTGAAAATCGGTGCCGGCCAAGCAAAGTTCAGTCACTTAAGGAATCTATCTATCTATACCCTTCTTAGCTAGGAGACCCGTTTTCCACCGCTCCACTCAACTGGAGCATGCTATACCAGTTACACACCCAAAATACAGGACAAATTGGGCCGGTTCAGAATGAGGTCACCGAGGGATTATACCGTCGGCGGTGCGTCTTCGTGGGCTGGGAGCATGAGCACTAGCTGAGAATCACAGGCTCCTTCTCCGACTTTGGAAATGCGGGCCTGCAATTTAACGTCTTTCCCAAGTGATAGACATGCACGTTAGACTTTGATAAACACTAAAGATTCTAGATCGGAGGCAGGGGGTGGTCGGTTAAAGGCCAATGATGGATATGAGGCAAAAGTCAAGGAGGAGCCAACTTGGACAGGGGTTGATTTCAGCTAAGATCCCTGAATTTAGTCATAATAACATTCTTGGCCTTAAAAAAATAGTGAGGCTCGAACTTAGTCCCTTTATGCATGCTTGGAAACTCTACCGCCACTCCATCTTCTTCAATCCAAGAATCCAAGTTGACCCTTCTTGGTCCTTTTTTTTTTTTTTTTTTTCCGATCGATCTGGCCTAATTCTATTGCTTAGGTCTAGGTTGGTTGCTAGGGCACGGAGCTTCACGGTTGCTAGGGAAGTGACGTCACTCCATGGACGGGCTAAGCAGCTTCTCCGTCCTCCCGATTGGTCGTTGTGTTGCGGGGGGGGGGGATGAGCTTCCAGTCTCGTGGGCTCCGCGGCTGTTAAAGAGACTTATCTGCTTGCAGGCTCGCCCCCAGGCCCGGGGACCGTACTCAACGCAGCAGATGTGACTTAGGCCGCCCAGCAGGGATTTTTGTCCTCTCAGGTACTTCCTGACTCACTCAAGTGCCGGTGTTTGGGACGGCCACTCGAGCCGTGCAGAAACCTCCATCTTTAGTGGGGAATTAGGATATTTATAGTTCTAAACTGGGTCTGGGCGGACTCTAGCTTTGGAAAGGAGGACTAGGTGCCCCGGTCTCAGAGGAATGACGGAGTCCTAACTAGAAATTCGGGAATTTGCATTGTTTCGTGTGTGTGTGTGTGTGTGTGTGTGTGTGTGTGTGTGTGTGTGTGTGTGTTTTCAGGTATGAACGACACTTGATCCATCACTTTCCAGTCAAAACTTTTCCTTTATCCACTGTTGAAGGGACCAGGAGGTCAAATGGAGACATCACCTGTTAGCGCAATGAAAGAGAAGGATACCGCTCAACCCCGGCAGCGGGAAGAGAACGCCCAGCGAAACCTAGATGCAACCGTCCAGTTTAGGCAGCAACCCCCAGTTCCCACCCCTGAAGCCCTGGAACTGGGAGTGAGACCGGATCCAGCCAGTCGGATTGCAGAGACTCCTCAAAAGGTTGAACACTCGGAGGCTGGGCTTGAAGGTGACACTGACCAACTTCATGTCTCCACCAATGAGACAGCAGAGCGTCCCCAAGCTTGTGATCTTTGGTACTGCCCTGATGGGAGTTTTGTAAAGAAGATTGTAGTCCGTGGCCATGGCTTAGACAAACCCAAACTAGGGTCCCGGTGCCGAGTGTTGGCTTTGGGGTTTCCTTTTGGATCTGGGATGCCAGAGGGCTGGACAGAACTAACTATAGGCATAGGGCAATGGAGGGAAAAAACTTGGGGGGAACTCACAGAAAAGTGCCTGGAATCCATGTGTCAAGGCGAAGAAGCCGAGATCCATCTTCCCGGATCATCTGCACCTCTTGCCAATCTCAGACTGGATTCATTTACTAAAGGTCGGGATTCCTGGGAGTTGGCGGCTATGGAGAAGGAGGCCCTGGCCAAGGAAGAACACATGAGGGGCACAGAACTGTTTCGAGCTGGGGACCCTAAAGGGGCTGCCCGATGCTATGGAGGGGCTCTCCGACTGCTGCTGACCTTACCCCCACCTGGACCCCCAGAACAAACTATCCTTTATGCCAATCTGGCTGCCTGCCAGTTGCTGCTAGGGCAGCCCCAGTTGGCGGCCCAGAGCTGTGACCGAGTGCTGGAGCGGGAGCCGGGCCATTTAAAAGCCTTATACCGAAGAGGGGTTGCTCAGGCTGCCCTTGGGAACTTGGAGAAAGCAACTGCTGACCTCAAGAAAGTGCTAGCAGCAGATCCTCAAAACCGTGCCGCCCAAGAGGAACTGGGGAAAGTGGTCATTGAGGGAAAGAAACAGGATGCAGGGCTGGCGCGGGGTCTGCGCAAGATGTTCTGTTGATTAAAAAGTTAAACTTTTAAAAGAGACGGGAACCCGTGGATTGTATTCTGCGTTTTGGGATATTTTAAGGGCCCCAAAGTGGTTTCAGTTCATATACTATCCCACCTATGGGGAGATAGCAACGGTGACAGCTAGTCTCTTGGGGGTGTGGTGGCTTATCCACCTCTGAAGATTTGTGTATTATGTGTATGCCTTCATGTGCCTGCGGATGCCAGAGGAAGTTGTATCCCTGGAGCTGGAGTTGCCTGGTTTAGGTGCTGGGAATGGAATCCAGGTCCATGCAAGATCCATACGCTCTCTCCCCACCTTTTTAATTTTTTACTGTTTGTCTGTCTATTGTGAGACAAAATTTCTCTGTGTAGACCTGGAACTCGTTCTGTGTACCAGGTTGGTTTCGAGCTCAGAAATCCGCCTGCCTCTGGGATTAAAGGCATACTCCACTGCTGCCTATGTACTAAATTGTTGACTGTTGAGTCATCTGTCCATCCTAGATGCTGGACCTTTATTGATCAATTGATTCACTTATTCATTCGTTCATTCAGTCATTCATTTATTATGTGTGCATGTGTGCTTTTCCTGCACGTGGGTGCAGCTTAAAACCGCTGAGCCATCGTTCTAGTCCCGATGCCAGAACTTTAATTGTGGGAACTACATTTCCCACAAGGCTGGTCTCTGGGGTCTCTCTGGCGCGTGCGCAGCCTCGCCCCGATGTGTGGAGTGGCTGACTGCTGCCAGGTTCCTATTGGCCCAGCTTGTACAGTCACCGCTCCTTCGTGTCATGTGCTCAGCACCCAAGCATCTGATTGGCCAGTGGGACTTCCGGGCTGCCCGGTTTTTCTTCAGCGAGCCCATTGATTTGATGAGGCTCGGGAGAGGCGGGTCTGGGAGCCGGCTCATGGTGGGGGGTGGGGGGAAGATGGCGGAGCTGATGCTCCTGAGCGAAATCGCCGACCCGACGCGCTTCTTTACCGACAATCTGCTGAGCCCGGAGGACTGGGGTGTGTGGAATGAGGCCCGGGGGTAGGGAGCGGGCTGTGGCCAGACACGGGCCCGAGGCTCGCGGGGAGGAGGGCTGGGCAAACGCCGAGCCTATCGCCCGAAGGAGCGCGCAGCGGCGTTCGGGCTTTCGCGGGATGCGGGATGAGGGACGACCTTGGCCTCCCGCGGGAGCACGGGTCCGCTCCGGGGTCAGGGGAGAGGGGCCGGACACTTTAAGGTGTCTGCCTATGCGAGTGGGCGGGCGGTGGGTCTGGCGCGGCAGAGCCAATGAGGAATGGAGCTCGCGCTGCAGTGCGAGCCTCCTGACACGCGGGCCTCCTTGCAGACAGCACCTTGTACAGTGGCCTGGATGAAGTGGCCGAGGAGCAGGCACAGTTATTCCGTTGCGTGGAGCAGGATGTCCAGGTATTGCCACCTCAGCCTTTCTCCTCCCTTGGTGGTGGGAGGGGGGACCCTCAAACCTGGAGCTATCCCCAAGTCAGAGTTCATCCGGGAGTCACCGCTGCTTTTGTTCAACCCGAAAATTGCGAGGAGAAAGGCCAGTTTCACCATTGTCTAATTGGAGCAAGGTTTATTTTAGAGGTGCACCCGAACTGGCCAGCCTGCTGTTTCACCCTAAGCGGAGATTTTTGAGAGCAGCCCCTTCTGACCTTTTGAGGTCCCTTTTATGCGGGACAGATAAGATATTAACAGTTGTAAGTGTCTTTACAAGGGCGCATGAGAGAACAGATTTTTAGATATTGTTAGGAAAAGTACAATAAAACAGGAATACAAGTATTTTTTTTGTGAGGGTTAACACAATGGGCTCCTTCATTTGCAAGGCATGTCACTCTTTTGGTCTCACACTTTATCACTTTCCTGCCCTCTACTGTGCCCATGACTTAGTTTGACAGCAGCTCTTTGGATGTGGGGATGGATGTCAGCCCCCCTGAACCTCCCTGGGACCCTCTACCTATCTTCCCAGGTAAGAGACGCTTAGTATTTCCCTAGTCTTTCCTTTTGCATCCCAGAAGCTGTATCCCTCGTCCTTGTGTTCATTCAGCCTACACAGGTTTCTGCACTCTCCTCTTGGACCCCTAGTGTGCGTGTATTGTCCACCCTCACTCTGCTAACCCCGCCGACAGCACCTACCTCTTCTCTGCTAGGCCTTTGCTTCCTGGGCACTAATTTTTGCAGTGTTGGCTCTATACACACAAGACGGGTGTTGGACACTGAGCCATGTTCCCAGTCCTTCCTGGTTATTTCCTAACTTTTGTTTTTCCAGATCTTCAGGTGAAGTCTGAGCCGTCCTCTCCTTGCTCTTCCTCCTCTCTCAGCTCAGAGTCTTCGAATCTTTCCTCAGAGCCCTCCAGCCAGGTGAGAACTGTCCCCTCTGGCTCTACTCTAGGTGCCGAGGTTCTATTTGTGTGCTGTGAGTGGGAGTGTCCTCTCAGTGATAACACCTCATTTTTTGTGCATCCACTCTGGTTGTGCAGAAGGAAGATGGGTCCTTTTTAATAATGTACAAAGAGATAGCAGTAGTAGGTCTTGGGAAAACAGCGTTGGTAACGGCTGAGGATTCTCCAACCGTTCTTACCCAGGTTGTCCACTGTAATGTGATATTTGCAATCTTGAGATTTTGTTGACTCTCCTGGGAAGAAAATAGAAAGGAAGAACAGAGCTGGAGAGCCTGGCTAGAGTCTCGGGCTGTTCACGTGACGGCACAGATGACTGGTGGTTTGTAGGCTCTCAGGTTTTTTCTCTCATCCTGACTCTCAACACCTCTCTAACTTTCTTTCCTTCTGTCTTTTCTGCCTCCCTGCTCACAGGTTCCTGGAGTAGGGGAGGTGCTGAATGTGAAGACAGAGTCCTTAGCACCCCCACTCTGCCTGCTGGGAGATGACCCAGCATCCCCATTTGAAACAGTCCAAATCACCGTGGGTTCTTTCTCTGATGATCCCTCAGGTAATCACAGCTTGTCACTGTCCTTAAGAGCTGCCACTGGGGGCCAAGCTGTGGGGGTGCATGCCTTTAATCCCAGTACTTGGGAGGCAGAGGTAAGTGGATCTCTGATTTCAAAGCCAGCCTGGTCTACATAGTGAGTTCCAGGACAGCCAAAGCTACATAGGGAAACCCTGTCCCGAACCCCCCCCCCAAAAAAAAAAAACCCAAAACAACAACAACAAAAATCCTGCTACTGGGTAAAGGAGATGGGGCTGGAGAGATGGCTCAGTGGTTAAGAGCACTAGCTGTTCTTTCAGAGGACCTGGCTTCAGTTCCCAGCATCAGTATGTCAGCTCACAACTGTCTGTAACTCCAGTCCCAGGGATCCAAAGCTCTTTTCTAGCCTCCAGGTGTTCCAGACACAAACATGGTCCATAGACATACATGCAAGCAGAACAATTACACAGATTAAAAAAACAGAACCCACACTTGGGTTTATCAGGGTAGGATGTGTGCATCTGCGTGGACAGGACAGGGTGAGGTGGGAGAGTGACGGGAAGGTCATGGGAATAGAAGCCGGGAAGAACTTCAGGGACAAAGCAAAGTAGCATGGAGGAGGTAAATGGCTATTTTCCTTGTTCCTGGTGCTCAGTCTGTCCCTGAGCTTACCATTAATTTGCATTTTCAAAACAGTGTGGAAAATTTTGTGCATGTGTATGTGCTGCTCGTACCACCCCAGCACACACGCCCTGTCTCAGTTACTGTGTTATTGCTGTGCAGAGACTCAGTGACCACGGCAACATTTAAAAGAAAACATTTCCTTTGGGGCTCGCTTAGTTCAGAGGGTTAGTCCTCAATCGTGGTGGGAAGCAGGTGGCAGGTAGGCACAGCGCTGGGACAGTAATAGCTGAGAGTTCACATCTGACTCACAAGTTGAAGGTAGAGAGAGAGACTGGGCTTGGCATGGGTGCCCATGTCTGGTGCCACACCTCCTAGTCCTCTCCAAACAGTTCCTCCCACTGGGAACCAAGCATTGAGATAACTGATTGTATAATTAAGTACTATAGTAGTGTTAGTGTCAGGTGAGTTTTATTTCATCCACCTGGGGCCTAGCATTTGTTTCTGTGGGCAATTAATAAGTTTCAGAGATAGGTGAAGCTTTGTTGATATGCTCCTAGGAGTCTAATTGGTCAGTCCGAAGGGAACTTGTGTGAAGTGAGAGGCAGTGAGTCTTCGGGGCTGGTTAACTTTGAATGTGTGGGAGGCATTGGAATGGAGGTGACAGAAAACAGTTTGGAATGGACAGAAACAAGTTTAGGAACTGGTCATGTTAAGATGAAGGCATGGTCACTGTCAACATGAGAGTACATTGATTAGGGAGGTTAGAATTGAATAAGAAACAGGCTAGAGAGATGGCTCAGTGGTTAAAAGCACTGGGTGCTCTTCCAGAGGACCAGTGTTCAATCCCCAGCAACCACATGGTGGCTCATACCTGTCTGTAACTACAGTTCCAGGTGATATAAGACCCTCTTCTGGCCTTTTGCACTTATAAATGCTCATGCACATAAAATAAAAACCGAACCTTGAAAAGAAGTTGAATTGGATAGGAGTGTGAACCTTGTGATCGCTCAGGACTCTCCCACATGGATGGACAGAGTCTGTGGGGGAGAAAAAGAACTGGCAGATGGGTGAGATGGCCTTGAGGAACACCAGCAGCTGTGGGTGTGAAATGGTAGGGAAGCCACTGAAACAGAAAGGGAAGTCCCAGTGGATAGGGAGCTAGAAAGCTAGATGGTCATCTCATGGCTCCTCCCTCTGGGGCACCTGCAGTAGCCCTGAGTCCAGGTGATGGGGGAGAAATGACCCTTTTCTCCTTCCTCTTAAGTATTTATTAGCTAGCCAGCCTGCTCTTCTTTCTTTCCTTCCTTCCTTCCTTCCTTCCTTCCTTCCTTCCTTCCTTCCTTTCTTCATTTTTTGAGACAGGGTTTCTCTGTGGCTTTAGAGGCTATCCTCACTCATGTAGACCAGGCTGGTCTTGGATTCACAGAGATTCACTTGCCTCTACTTCCCCAGTGCTGGGATTAAAGGTGCGGGACACCACTGC